CCCTTTCTGCCGTACTCCTTCCCAGACCGTCGCTTCCCATTCTGTATGTGTGAAACTGATTGTTCCTTTCTAAGTGGAGCACTTTGCATTTGTCTTTATTAAACTTCATCCTATTTACCTCAGACCATTTCTCCAATTTGTCCAGGTCATTTTGAATTATGACCCTATCCTCCAGATTAGTCGCAACCCCTCCCAGCTTGGTATCATCTGCAAACTTAATGAGCGCACTTTCTATACCAATATCTAAATTGTTGATAAAGATATTGATCCCAAAACAGACCCCTGCGGAACCCTACTTGTTATGCCTTATCATAGCATATCATACATTATCCCTACATAGCATTTTTCTCTTGCATAGATCAGTGCACTTTTCAAACCTGAATGAATGAAGTCTCAGCCGTGTTAGTCTGTAACTTTAAAAACGAGTAGCCTGTGGTGCCTTAGGGTATGTCTACACTACCACCCAATTTCGAACTAGGGTGGTAATGTAGGCAACCGGAGTTGCAAATGAAGCCCGGGATTTGAATTTCCCGGGCTTCATTTGCATCTTGCCGGGCGCTGCCATTTTTAAATGTCCTCTAGTGTGGACTCCGTGCCGTGCGGCTACACATGGCACGGACTAGGTAGTTCGGACTAGGCTTCCTATTCCGAACTACCGTTACTCCTCGTGAAACGGTAGGAAGCCTAGTCCGAACTACCTAGTCCGTGCCACGTGTAGCCGTGCGTTCCATCCACAATTATTGCAAGAGCCATCCTACCAGTACAGCTTTCTGGTCTCCAGTGGACATAAATTGTGAGGGTTCCCCACCCCCTTTTTTTTTTCTCTGCTCAAGGTCATCTGAAGAACTGGGTTTTGCCCACAAAAACTCATGATACTATATATTTTTGTTAGTCTCTAAGGGTATGTCTACACTACCACCCTAGCTCAAGCTAGGGTGGTAATGTAGGCAACCGGAGTTGCAAATGAAGCCCGGGAAATTCAAATCCCGGGCTTCATTTGCAACTCCGGTTGCCTACATTACCACCCTAGCTTGAGCTAGGGTGGTAGTGTAGACATACCCTTAGAGACTAACAAAAATATATAGTATCATGAGTTTTTGTGGGCAAAACCCAGTTCTTCAGATGACCTTGAGCAGAGAAAAAAAAAAGGGGGTGGGGAACCCTCACAATTTATGTCCACTGGAGACCAGAAAGCTGTACTGGTAGGATGGCTCTTGCAATAATTGTGGATGGAAGATTTGCCACAGTATACCAATAAGAAGATACATGTTCTCATTCCGAATCCTGTTTATGGCAAATTCACTCTTCCCTCCTGATAAAAATGCATCAAATTCAATAATTCCTGCTGCTGAAAACTCACTGCTCACTGCTCTGTAGGATTCTGTCTCAGAATGAAACCCGCTTCTCCGATTCAGATAATGGTTGTTTTTTAAACTCATCGGTGGAACTTTTGACTAGTTTTTCCTTCCTGCCTTTCCTTTCCTCCTAGGAAATGATCTGTTGCAAGTTACTAACCAGAATTGATTACGTGATCCCAGGCTTGGTGCCTTAGAGACAGA